TATATATATACATATATATATATATATATATATATATATGTTATTTTCTATTTTAGGGTTACTTTTTTGCTTTGAGATTTCTGCCAGGACAACCTTCAGCGCCCCCTTTTCTTTCTAGGATTATACCTAAGGACAAGTGGTGCTTAGATTGTATCTAGCTTTGAGGTTGTGCTTATATTTGACTTTTTCCTTCTCCCCAACCTCCCTTCCACTATTGTTGTCACCATATTGGTTACAGTTTGCCCAAGGTTAGTAGCTCTACTATCTTCAGCAGCCCCCAAACCCTTCTCCTTGCCAATGCCAACCCCCACACACCGCACATTTGTGGTTTTGGTCAACCATTCTTGTTGTCCCACCGTTTCCTCATCTTTGGCAGCAGCCCTATGGTATTCTTAAATATTCTCAACTACAAAACTTCCATCGTAAAACAACCAATTACTCTTTCCCACCTCCAAAACAACCTTTTAGCCACCAAGAACTTGTTGCAACAATATTCCTTCTAACTGCAACCGCCCTGGGTTTCAACCATGCTCCAGCCCTCCATCTCTCTTGTCCCTTAAACCGCAACACCACCGCTTTTCAAATACATTTAGCTGTGCTTATTAGTGTTTGTTGTATTTCCTTTTCCAAGTGTGTTGGGTTTTAATCATATATTTGAATTCAACAGTAAAATTTTGTTTTCTAAATGTTATTTGGGTTAACTTCATTATCACAATCTTAAAGTAATTTTTTATAAATAAATTTATAATTTTAAAAAGGAAGAGTTTACGTAATTTACAAAAGTACCCAATATCATAATTTTAGAAATAGAAGCAAGTTAATCACATTATTGAAAAAAACAAAATCGATGCTGAGTTTTTCAAATTGATTCTCTACTTGTGAATTAATATTAAGTTGCATATCAACTTAAAAAAAAACTTATAACTTTAGTTCTTGTTCGGGATCACTTTTATTTTTGTTTTCATTTTAAAACAGATTTACTTAATGCATTTTTTTGCATGTTTTATTTATTTTTTAAATAAAATAGTTTGCTTTTAAAAATATTCAAAACAAATAAAAGATTTTTCTTTAAAATCAAAATTTAAGGGGCTATTTAGGGCCACATATATATTTTTTCTATTTTTAGTCATTATTTTATTTTGTTTATGTTCTAATTTGAAATAAAACATGTTTGGGACATATGATTAAGAGAATGTTATTTGCAAACACTCTAAACACCAAAAAAAATTATTGTAAGTGGTTTCAAAAACTTGTTAAAAAAGAATTAAAAAAACATGTTTTAAAAATAAAGAAAATGCAAAAATAAAAAATAAAAAACGAAATTGATCCCAAACAAGCACTAAACAAAACAAGAAAATAGAAAACAAAAAACAAAGTGGCCCCAAATGTTCCCTTAGGGTCTGTTAGAGATCACTTTTGGTTTTTGTTTTTTTATTTTTTTTATTTTTATTTTATTTTGTTTATGTTTTGATTTGAAACAAAATGTGTTCGATAATTTTGATTAAGATATGGTTGTTTTTTAAAATACTTAAAACACGTAAAAATTATTTTGAGTGTCTTAAAAAACATATTTATTAATTTTTAGAAACAAAAAAACACAAATACACAAAAAACATGGCTCCCTCTATAAATTTATTTTCAAAGTATAATTTGACTAATTATTGGCTATTTAAACTCTTATAATTGTTTCTCTATGTTTTTTTTTTTAATGTATTTCAGTTCATGTAAACATTCTCTTATGATCCTATGATTATGTAGGTAAGGATGTGATATGACATTTGTGCTTGCCACTCTGCTTTTACACATGAGTGTTTGGAAACAATTTCTAACTATTTTATTCTCTTGCATCACTCAATTTTTTGGTATTTATGTAAATACCACAATTGAGACTGCAAAAGTATATTCTCCTTCTCATATATTGATTTCTCAACATATTCAAACTTCGAACTAGTAGCCAAAACATTTCAATGTGGTGATATAACTTTTTTGTGCTAGCACATTGTTGTTGTATCTTCACATTCGTTGCACTTCTCAAGTAACCACAATCAAATGACAAGATTTCACATAAATTTGAATTTAAATTTAAAATTTTATGAGTTGATGATTGTATTAAATTCTTAGGGCTAATTCGTGCCTTATGATATTATAATGCACACACCAACAAAAGAAGAACTCATGTCAATATTTCCACTTGAATAGTGTACCATATGAAGATAACTTACATCACTTCAAAACATTCACGAGTTCTTACCATTATTTTCTCATAAAATTCAGCCAGAAGAAAGATGGACTTAGACACATACATAGTACTTCGGATTCATAGGCTTATTACTCACAATACCACCGATCCGCACATGCGAAGACCACACGTTTAGCCCCAAATCAGTGGGCAAAATTGATGCCATTAAACCAAATAATAACATTTTTATTGTCGCGGATGGCGACGTTCTCTGTGACTTCAAGAAAAAACCTATTATTCGAGCTCTGCAGATTGGTGTTACTGGCCCAGACAACTGTGCCCATGCCTTTGTACATGACTAGATTTCCATCACTTTGCATTTTTAGGGTGCAGAAAAAACCCTTTCCCCGCGTCCCCGACGCCCATATCTCTTTATTTTGCGACATATCTGTAAAGACGAGGTCACAAAATTTGTTCATTTCCAATTTATATCGACCTTGATATGTGAGGGAATAGAACGTATGAAGACGCTCTCCAGGATTCAGACGGTTGCTAGCTGAGACCGGACTGGTTAAATGGCATATCGTTAAGCTCGCTGTTATGAGGAGGGGAAGAATTGTAGCTGAGGCGTTGATGGAGCAGACTGCCATGGCTGATGCTTCTGATTTGATTTGGTAACCCTGGCATAACATGCTTACACACACACATGTATATATATGTGTACATTTATGCATACGATGGAAGAGAGAATGGTGGGGTTGTATTTGCTTGAAAAGTGTGTTTTGTCGTGTTTTAGTATTGGATGTATTTTGTAATGGATGTTGCTTTCATTTGATTGTTTTCTCTTAATAGGAGGCTTAGTTTGATGTGTCTTTCTATAAATTATGTTTGTCTTTTACAATATGATTGTATTGAATAATAATATTATTAATTATTTTTTTTCAAGTTTCCCACCTTTTATGATCAACACACACACAAACACACACATATGTATACCCAAGAAGCATTTCTGAATTCAAATTTTTGGCTCAAATCTAGATCGGAGCGAAATAAACGAGCTCAGCTACAAACCAAATTTTTTTTTAGCTGATTTTGAGTCGATCCTAACTTGACTCGAAATTGGATCCTTAACACCCTAGTGAGAGTAATGATTTTTCACCATAAAATTTGTGTCATATATCATATTCCCTTCTTCATCCAAAACATAAAAAACTACAAAATATACCACTTTCAAATAAATTTATCATGAACTTTAGACCCAGAAACAAAGTTAACTTAAATGAAGAAATAAAAAACCATATTAGATAAACTTAAATGGAGAAAAAGAGATTCCTTTGAAATAACATACCCTTTTGTGTATATATTCAACATGTTTTTTCCTTGAGGTTTCTAGAAAAATATAGAAAGAAGCTGTTACTTTTGTGTGAGTCTTAATGATAGCATCTAAATAATCATTTCATGTAATAGAAAGTTAATGCAGTCACAACTATTCCAAAGTACCTTCTTTTCCTTATATTGTGCTCAAAACACACCAGCCAAAGCAATTTAAAGAACAATAATCAAATGATTCCTAGTACCCTACTTTTACAATGATAAAATATTTTTCGTTTTCATACACGTGTGATTGTAAATTCACGGCGATGGAGTGATATATTAATATTATTATATTGTACGAAGTTTTGACACACACATATGGTAAAAAGAAATCGACAGACAAGACGAAAAAAGTTTTAGAATGGAAAACTCGAAGAGGCAAAAATACACGAGGCTTGACCCAATTGAAATGATTCCACTATGCCGATGTAGGCTATAAAACTTTATCGCCCCTTGAATGGCCGTAGGCAATACTACACAAGTGGAATGCGACTTTCGTTGGGGAAATGAGGACGTTAGTAGTCCAGCCGTGGGGGTGGCCAGATGGCGGTGGCCATGTGACAATGGTCTGGCGGTGGAGGTGGCCCAACAACAGTGGTGGCTGTCAGACAGTGGTGGCAAAGCAATGGTGGTCAGATATTTACGATAGCTCGACGGTGGTGGCTGAGCAATAATTTTCTAGCGGTTGTGTTAGCTCGATGCCAGTGGTTGGGCAATAGTGGTTTGACAGCGGTGGTGTTAGTGACGATAAAGTTTAGATGATAGCGGTCAGGCAGTGGTAGGTTGGAGGAGGCGACATTTCAGTGGTGGCGACAGTGATTCGACAACATCGACCAGATGGGGTGGTCGGGCTGTGACAGTGACTCGACGACGTTGGCTGGACAACAGTGATGTGACGATGTCGACGACTCGATGGTGATGACTAGGCAAAGGTGGTCTGGTGGTAGAGGTGGCCAAACAACGGTGCTTGGTCTGCTGGTAGAGGTGGCCAAACAACGGTGGTTGGGCAGCTATGGCTGGGCAGATGTGATATGGTGACCGCGGATGCCAGATGGAAATGATGAGATATATTACTTCAACAACGACGGTGGCTCGACAATAGTGGTCGGGCAATCGTGGTCCAACGGTTAAGGTGGCTTGATGGCAGTTGCCAGCCAGTGGTGGTCTGGTGTCTTTGGTGGTTAGACAATGTGGTCGGGAAGCAGTGGTCCGACGGCGACAAAAACCAGATGACAGAGGTCAGACAATGGTATTTTGATTGTGGTGGTGTCTCAACGATGATGGTTGGACAAAGTTGGTCCATTGGTGGTAGGGGCCTGACGGTGGTGGTCGGGCAACATTGGTCGATCGGCGGTAGTCGCTTGACGGTGGTGGTTGCGCAACGATGGAATGCTGGTGACATCAGCTATTTGTGAGTGATTGGAGCTTCTTTTGCTTTCTCTTCTAAGTTTAGGTCCCAATTTCCTTTTCATTAAGGGAGTAGAGGTCTATTTATAGTTTTTTTCAGCTGCATACTTTATAAATACTGCATGAATCGGGGCCACTCCATCAGATGACCCATAGGAATCCCTTTGATCTGATGGCGTTCTATGAGCATTCAAGTGCCTTAATTATGTCCGAATCAAGTGACCGGGCTCATTGGATTTGGTTGGATAATATGCTCGATTTGACTTATATAAGTTTGTCAAATTTAGAATAAATTGTGCAATTCAATTGCCCATCCAAAGCCTTTGATTACGCTTGTATGGCTTGATTTGAGACTGATTGACATTAGATCAAGCAAATTTTAGCTTCATTGAGCTCGCCTTTTCAATACGGCCAATATGACTATAAACTTGCAAGGATTGGGGCCCTGAATGATCATGAATTTGAATTTGGAATATTTATATTATTCGATTTTTTGAGGATGTATCAATACATATAATGCTCATAAAAATAAGCTTAAATATAATTAAAATAGAGTTTGTAGTTCTCTACAATGTTGTGAAATAAATTTATAAATTGAACATATATATATATATATATAT